CACATCCTATACGTATCTTAACCAAGGCAAAATGTTACACGGTGACGAACGAGATTTTTAATTCAAAACATATTTCTTTGTGCCCCCGGGTTTAAATCTCGGCACCGGAGACCCTCTGTCATTACTGAGAGTTTTTCGTGGTTTTCCTCAGTCCTTCCAGCCAAATTCCGGGACAGTACCTTAAATTAGGCAACGAACGCTTTCTTCCAAATCATTTCGTATTTATTATCGTTCTCTCGACGCTGTATAGTCTGAGCGTCGTTAAATTATTTATTTATTTATTTAGTGTTCTGTCTGACGACAGGTCCATATGAACAGGATCCTTCCATCCTTTTCTCGGACTGGGACCTGTTCATATACGTTCTTGGCAGATGATCCAGAAGTGGTTTGCCATTGCCTTCTTTTGTGTGTGAATGGAGTAATTGTTGGGATGCCATGGAGGAAAACTCCGTGTTGCCTAGACCACGGCCTTGCCCAACACAAGTTATAAATTCGGGCACCGCCGGGAATCGAACCCGAGACCCCCAGGATTACAAGGCCAGCGTTCTAACCGCTAGACCACCGTGGCGGTTGTTCATTAAATTAATTACAAATAAATAACATCGTGTTTGTCATTCAGACTTCAGCATCGTCACAGTGTAGATAAACAATGGTATAGCTTGGTATATTTTTTTTTCTCCGAGTATATTTTGTTCTGTGATGTTTGTACCTGTAGTTGCTTGTTATTACTGTTTTGTCCGTCTTTATTTGTATCCGTTGTTCTTTTGTTTTGTTTCTGTTATACTTTATTCTTTTGTTATTTTTTTTCCCAGTTGCTTCTTTGTTTTATTTCATATATCGAACATTCTTTATGCAGGTCACTCGCCGATTTCAATTCACGTTTTCTTAAACATGTGAACGTCATAGAAAAATAATTTAATATGTATTGTGGCGATGTTGACTGTATCTTTGTTTCGCTGCGGTCACTCCAACAGTGGTGGAAATTGACTTCGGAGAACCGAAGGTCTGGGAGATAAACCTGTTTCAATGTCGCTTTGTTTCCCACAAATTACACTAGATAGCTCTGGGAGCAAACCTGTATTGTGAGTTGCTGACGACTAAACATCTTTTTTTGCTGTTTCATTTTTATAATTGATTTTTTTCAAAGAACAACAGTAGTATCATACGAATATTACGTCCAAAGTCAACACCGTGTGTTCGATTGTAATACAGGCGTGTCTCGATAGTCTTAAAACATGTCGTAGGCGCAAAGACCACTGGGCATGCGCACAGAACGTAGGAACTAGTCCATTGCGAGCAGATGTTGAATAGACAGTGGATTTATATCGTTGTGACAGTTCTCTCAGGCCAAGGTCAGTGTTGTATTATACTGGACTCCTTCGACCACAGCAGGTGTGTGTGTGTGTGTGTGTGTGTGTGTGTGTGTGTGTGTGTGTGTGTGTGTGTGTGTGTGTGTGTGTGTGTGTGTGTGTGTGTGTGTGTGTGTGTGTGTGTGTGTGTGTGGGAAAAGGCAATATGCAGTATGAACGATAAGTACTAAAATATTTTATTTTCCAGTGATTGGAAACAGACATCGTTATGTCGATTAGATTCAAATACGTCATTAAAAGGTCCTATTGCATGTAACATTTCAGCAGTTTATTTTACCAGTTGAGTAAATATCAGAGTTTTAAATAAATCTCTACACCGTAGAGCTGGGTGTTTTTTTTTTATAATTTATCTTTTGCGTTATTTTAAAGCCGTGAGTTAGGAAGGACAGAATTATCTCACTAATCCAGTAGAAATGCGAATTCAAAACTTTGCCTGATAAAACCTCTTACAAGCAGGTAAAAACACGTAACTATTTACATGAAATTAGTTTCAAGCAGTTTTTATTCGAAAACATTCAGACCGTACCGCAAAGAAAACAATACTTTACCATTATAAATGTCAACTGTTAAACGCTGTTTAAGGAATAAATCGCTGTTATGATATGATACACATGTATTTTGTTGGCAAATTAGAGATGTTGAATGTTAAAGCCGGTGGTACATATACTTACCACTAAGAATTAAAGGGGATAATTAAGTATTTAAATTTGACTGTTCGTAAACCCGTTCTTTCAGGGTGATAGAGTACTTAATTTTTCGTGGTCCGCATAAACATGTTGAGGGCCTTGGGTTGAGAACTATTGTAAAGCTTTATCTACAGTTTTTATGCGTTTATGGCGTGTAACTGTAGTACAACGGGAATTTTATATTCTTTCCAATATCAGATAATGGTTATGGCGCCATGATTTGATCCACGGCATATTGCACGTCTAGAATAATATGGTCACAACAGAAACATAAAGAGAGATGTTTTATAACGCTGTTTGGAAGCCAATGTGGCTTTTCGCGTAGCGTAATAAGGTCACATCTGTACTTATAGTAATTTCCTTTAGATATCAGTTACAGGGTGTGCAATTTAAAACGAAATACATCAATACGCTGTGCTATAAAAATTAAATCAAAATCAGGTACACCCTGTATAATAGACTCTTCCAACCTTCCCCATGACACTAGAATAATTGTCAACCCAGTTGCTAGGCCGCTACTCAAGCGACTTGCGCGAAAGTTGTGCTTGGCTTAATATAGTGTATTTACGAGATGAACGTGTATTTCATGTGGCATAGAAATTGTTTGCTGACGTTCAAGAAGAATCTATCAGTGAGTGTCCAGACAAGGAAATATCGAATATGATACGCCGCCAGGTAACGTTTTGGGGTACAGAAAACATGTCTGGCGTCGGACGTTGTTGACAGCTGAGTAATGTAAGGTTGAAAACATTGAGAAACAACCTATTTGTGTTGTTGTTGTCAGCAAAGCTTACGAATAATGTTGAATTTTGGGTTGAGTTTTAAATAAAACACCCTGTATATTCTGTATTTTTACGTATATAATGCAAAATTGTATTTGTTGTTTTGTTATAAAAGTGAGATATTTTGTGAAAATTGATTATACTATGGACATGAGACATGAATTACGAGAGGTTTTATGTACTACTACATTCTACCCCGTACAACTCTTAAACACGAAATTTAATTAAAATGAATTGGTCCTGAGAGTGTCATGGAGATAAAGCAACAAAGTGTCATCGAAACATAAAGAACTCGAGCATTATAACGAAACCAGCCCCTGGAAATGATTCGACTTAACAGAACCGAAGTGGGTAAATGAAGATCGACCAAATGTCAGATCAGAACCAGTAGTCAAATGGGGCAGATCGTAGAGGAAAATGGTTGGCTGGGTTGCATTCTGCAAGTTATTAGGATGTGTGTTGATTGCTTTTGGATAATTCAGTACGTGCCTTATGTATAATAGATTGTGCCATAATTCGTTATATTAAATTCTGAACACAAATGCGTACTGAAGTTGGTTACTTATTTAGTAAAGGGATAATAGATAAATACGAAATTTGGACTCTTAGTAGATAATTTGTCTGTTACAGTGTTGTGGTTTTATGGTTCCTGATACCTTGTAGTTCATGCGTCTTTATGAACCTTTCGGAGGAACATATTTTTTCATCTTCAGGGTATTGAAGGCAAATATAACTTGGGTATAATATGTTAACATTTTTTTTTTAAATTTATACATGTAAATAATTTTAATTTATATCAGTGTTTCGTTTGAGATTAAAATGAATTTATTTTTAAGAATTTGTATCTTTCTTGGACTCAAGGGGGGGGGGGCGAAGTGACAGGAAAGTGGATAAAATTACATAATAATATAGTTTTTGGCAATAAATCATTGAGGATGGGGTGGGCGGAGTATGAATACAACAATTTTGGTTCGGAAATACTGCAGGAGAGAAACCACTCGCAATACTTCAACGTAGATGGGGGATAATATTAAAATGGATATTAAGGATATAAGGACATGTGTTAAAATATTCATGTAAGGTACCCGTGATCTTGTGAACACGGTAATGAACACTGGAAGTCAATAAACGTTGGGGAATTTCTTGACTAACTGAGCGACTACTAGCTTTTCAAGGGCTTGGTCCCGTCGAACTGTGGATTAATCCGAACTGCATTACACAAATTTTATTTTTTCTTGAGTTGTTGAACGACGTCTTTTAAATGCATTGACCGAAGGTGAATATAATAGGATTTGTTGTGGATTATGAATTGGAATATATAAGGGAATGAATCGTGGCTTATTTTAAGGCGTCGTAGCTGGAGGGACAGAGGAAGATCACGCGAAACTTGCTAGGTTAGCCCATATTCTGTTAGAACACGTAGCTGACGGTACCTGAGACAATAGGCCTGAAGCTAGGATTAGTCAATTGAAAAAGAATGTGCAAGAAAGCTTTGTGCCCTAATTTAAATACCTGTCACAGTACTAGCCTGGAAGAAGTAAGGTAGACCACGAATTATTCAGAATAGCCCGGTTATTCGGCCGAGATACGAGCCAGAGACTTCCAGATACGGACCGCTCGACCGAGGCTTTCGATGGCAAGAAGATATTCCAGTATCTTTTCCACATAACCTCAGGAATCCATATCCCGACTAACATGGCCACCAAAACTTCTTACTTCTACACTTTAACTCTACACGTGTTCATAATACAAATTTTCTCCGCATGTTTTCCTAAACCCCAAGCTCTTTTCTCGTTTCCACCAATCAGGAACAATCAGGCTTCCAGAACTCACCACCCACAAAACATTCTTCCTGAGGATGGCAGTTGCAATGTTTGCCGAAACATCGGGTAATACTTAACATTCGATGTGACAGAAAACTGCATTGCAATGAACCTTAATTATTATAAGTCATTGGATTGGTTATATGAGTACGAAGATGGCTGTCATGGTTGAAGCACAGTGTAGTCTCCTAGAAGTCCCGATGATGGAGGCAGCAAGGCCCTCTGAAACGTTCCGTCAACTTCTGTACGGTGCTACAACCGAGAAGACAGATATCTTCTATTGGTTATTTTAGGAGAGTTAGTAAAACGTTGTGGTACATTAAATAAATTTGGTTTCAGGCTTTGACATCTCATCCAACAAGGACATGGAACATGACTCATGGTGACAGGTGCCACTGTAAGCGTTCTTCAGAACTCTACACCCAGCTGTGTGTATCATCATCGTAAAAACATAAGAATTTTATCTTCTCGCGTGTGGTACTTTAGGTTGGCAACGTGTGTTACGACGGGTTAAATTTGGCAGTGCTGTTAAGCGAGTTGGAAAGAGAATATTAGGAACTTGACCTCGCAAGCGAGAGAAGGAGACAAGTACCACGAATAGATCTTGTCGGTACTGCTAGCAGTTCTGAGTGTCTTGTCTGTTGTTGGCAACTGACTGACGAAAAGATTTCCTTTGCTTGGCCTTGGTAGTCGAATGATAATAAAAAGTCTTGAAACAAAACATCCGAGTCTGAATCCGAAATAATGTCAGGAAAGAAAGAAAGAGAATGGATGCTTGTAACTCTATATAAGAGAACATAGGAGGATGTTTTAGTATGTGAGTGACTTTGTTCGTAGTATGAAGTGTCTCTTCTTTTATGGCGTCGTGAAATGAAGCTTTTAACGAAGAGATAAAATGAAGTATTGTGATTAATGTACTGTTTTGTGTGTTTTAAAACAGTAACTGATCAACAGTGTACTAACTGAAAATACAAAGTCATTTATATTACAAGATGTTACTAAGCAGTTCGTCGCCTTGATACAACGTCGAATGTTGTTTATCGATACGAACTCTACAGAATGAACCATGATATCGATGTGTTGTATTAATGACAAGATCTATATTAATAATTACGTGTTACGACGGTCTGATCTTTTATTAAATTAACAATTCTTTGTGCGTGTAACGGACCGGTGTCTGGTTAAAAGAAATTGTCGTTTTTTTAATATAAAAAATTGCGCAGTATCTTTTGAACTTTATAGACAGAATGAAAATGGTTATTAACTTTTTTATGATATTTTTGTTGGCGTCCGACAATTCTGTATCGGCCTGGATCACGTGGTATACCACGACACGTGAATATTCCAACACGACACCTGGGGCAGGTGACAGCAATGAAATAAGTCATCAGACTGACAGTACGACAAGTATTCCAGGTATGTAGTCTCATATCTGTGACTTATCCAGTGTTAGAAATGGCGGTATACAATTTTTGTGTTATTTTGCTAAAATAGTTTTTTTTTTTTTAAATGTGTTTCGTCGGATCTGGGAGATGGATAATGTCCAGTAATTAGTTTATTTTAAAAGTCTTCCCCCTTTTCAGCCACTTATATCCGTCTGTGGTGTATGTCATTTCGAATCGGAAAGTTCCAGTGTCGCTGAATGGATTTTAACAAAATTTGATACTGGAGGGGTTACAAAATTTTATCGAGACATTCGCTTTTGGTTAAGTCCCGAAAACACCACCGACCAATTTACGTGAATATTTTTAATATTCTCTGCGCTCGGAAGTAGCTGGTTGGGGGAATCCCAGTATGGGGAATCCGTAGGATCCCCGCAGCCATTTGAGGATTCCCGACTTTGACATAAACGCGTCGTAATTGTTTACGCCGTACCTGCGTTTTTATAATTTTAAAATTAAAAAGTCCTATATTCTGGACCTCGGTTCTCGGTTCGTCTCTCGTTGATCCAGAATGAAACACAGAGGGACCTTACCCAAGCGAAAGGAAAAATCCTTGAAACTGCGTAAGAAGATAATAAAACATTTTATCTGAGATTTAAACCTAGACGGCGTAACTCTCTAGAAGTTTGAGAGTTACAATTCTCGATGTATCGTCATAATTAGACTAAATTAGATTACATAAAATTTCGTTGAGTCTACTTATCTCTGTCATTAAACTTTTAGATTTATGTAGGATTTATCAATAATGACACTATTAGTCTACATCGAGAAACGGGTTCCAGAAAGAAATGTTTCTCCTCGGGAAGAAACTATCGTCCATTACGTAAATAAACACGTTCGTGTGTCTTGTGGTTTCATGTTGATTTGTAATTACGTACGGAAATTTTTGTGATGAAGTAGGTATTAAGTTTTTTCAGAATGTCTGATAGACACTTCGTAATAAGATATGAGCCTCTAACCCTGCCATTGATTTGATTTTTGATGATATGACGTCATCATCATAGAAACGTCTTTCTGTCTCCACGATAATACGTTTTCAATAATGTACGTGGCGTTAGTGTCATTAAAAAATGGGCCCCCCACCCGTCCGTGTAATGACTTTTCAGGACGTGTACAATAAGAATAAATTTTCGGATTTCTGTTTACCATTTGTGAACGATACATTCCTTCCTTTAATTTTAAACCGAAGCGTATAAATACATTTTCAGGTCGTGTTGTGCTACTCATTTTTGATTTTTAACTGAAGTCACTCAGACAGAATCATTCTGGAGAAAATGATGGTCACTCAGCTAGTAGGATGATATTAAAATGGATCTTACGGATGTAAGTTTTGGACGCTGAGATTTTGTGGATTGGATTAATCTGGCCTAAGGCAGGGATCGCTGACGGGGTTTGTGATCACAGTAATGAGTCTGAAATTTTTAAAAATGGTAGCTTTTATCTTAAGTAGTTGAATGTGCTGTTAGTTTCTCAAGGATTCTGCTAAATGTTGGTTCATTTGTTAATTGCAAAGTTGTAAAGATGGATTAAAACTTATTCGTTTCGTATTTTCTTTTGATTAAGCTGCTGTGTAAGATAATTAGCTTAGATTTTGCTGTTCACGGGTCGTATCACACTTTTGTTTTTCTTTGAAGTAATACGTAGGATCATTTTTCTTCTCTGACGTATTTATTGGTGGAACTTTCGAAATAGTTATCTGCCTCGCGTCGACATGTTATTCACTAGATTCTCCGTTTAATCCCTTGGATATTTAAAATTTCAATTTCGTAACAGAGTTCAAATCATTTTCTTTATACCAAGATAATGATTTTAGGTTCATAACATTATTTATAGTTTATTTATCTGCTTGTATCTCAAGTTGGAAAGGATGTGGAAGGAAACGGTCGTGTTATAATTTGAGGTTTCCTCCCGGAATCTGGAGTTTTGAGTTAAACCGCTTAAAACCCCTGTCGGGATATCCGGTCTCCGGGTCAGGTTTTGAACCTGGGGCCTCCCGAATAAGAATCAGTAGTCATAACATTCAGTTTTTACGGTTATAATAAAACGTATTTAAATCTCAAAGAGTTATACGGTTTATCTGATTTTAAAAATTAGAAGGCAGTCAGGTAATTGGAATTTATATTTAACTATGGATTATAACCGTTTGATGTTAAGTATGTGATCTCTTATTTTATGTAAACATCAGGAAAAGATGATGAATGTCTTATGAGTTGTAGCGCCGTGCAGTCTCGTAGAGATTTGCCAACGTTTCGGAGGTCTTTGCTGCCTCCATCGTCAGGGCGATGAGTACGGAGACAGAAACGTTGGAAAACGTCTACCAGACTGCAGAAAGCACGCCGTTATCTGGTGTTTGGTATTTACATGTCTTATCACTTTACGGCAAGGCGACTTAAAAGTAGAGAAATGTATGACGTCACTTCCTTTCGTTGTATAGAGCCTCCGTATAATGAACGATAAGCAGGAATAGTTTGGTGTCTGACTCTCGCAGTGCACTGACCTTTCTGGTATCAGCTAACAGGTTATAACATCTTTCATGTTCTAAGAAGAGCTTAACATATTTAATTACAATCATAGGGTTTGTGGTATGAAAAATACGCAGTTTAATTATTTAAATGCAATTAATTTTAAGAAACGAGAGACAGTACCGATACAGTAGTTAATTAATTTAATAATAATAAGCAAAAAAGTGGCTAAAGCAGTTGATACGCCTTTTATGGAACCAGAACGTTCATTGTCGTGTTCACAAGACCTCGCCACTGGTCCCTATCCAAAGCCAGATGAAACCAATCCACATCCTTGCACCCTATTTCTTTAAGATCCATTTTAATATTATTCTTCCATCCATTATACGTTTTATCCTATGTTTTCTGAGTGGTAAGTCAACTTCTTGCCACGGTGGTCTAGCGGTTAGAACGCTGGCCTTGTAATCCTGGGGGTCTCGGGTTCGATTCCCGGCGGTGCCCGAATTTATAACTTGTGTTGGGCAAGGCCGTGGTCTAGGCAACACGGAGTTTTCCTCCGTGGCATCCCAACAATTACTCCATTCACACACAGAAGAAGGCAATGGCAAACCACTTCTGGATCATCTGCCAAGAACGTATATGAACAGGTCCCAGTCCGAGAAAAGGATGGAAGGATCCTGTTCATATGGACCTGTTGTCAGACAGAACACTAAATAAATAAAAAATAAAAGTCAACTTCTATACGAATTTTATTTAACCGTTTTAGTCTTGATCAGTTCCTTATATACTCGCCACTCTCTTTTGTCACGTGGTTCGTATCCCATAATTCAGACAAGATTCGATAACATTCAGTGACCTCGTATATGTATTAATTAATTAATTTTATCAGAGTCCTGACGTCACAAAATTAATGTACGCCTTTTAAATGATCGTGTGTAGAGTTCTTAAACATGAAAAAATATCGAGGCATAAAAAATTAACAGTTAAACAATTATAATATAAAACAATTTATAATAATTATCGCCACCATCACCATAATAATTTTATGCTCGCGTAACTTTGTTTTGTGTGTTTCCGAAACAGGTGCAGAATTAATTTTCAGTCTGTTGGTCCTTGTCTTATCAGTCAGTTACATACTGCGTTATAAACAATATTTATGCTAAATAACATTCGAGGAAGACAAATGTGTGGTTTATTACTGGGTTACTGACATAAAAAATAGTCTGTCCAGTTCCACTACTATTGCTAAATAAATTGTAATAAAAGGTATTATTAATTTATTTTCCCTAGTGGGAGTCATGACAGATAAAGAAATATATTTAAAATTATCCGAACCTGACTTGTGTTCAAAATTACCCCTACGTTGTTATATCAGCCGTCACGCACAACAGGTTAACATATCGATCGATGGTTAATATGGCGGAAAATTCATTTAAAACAAGTGTGGTAATTTAAAGTATGGGATGTGTGAAATAATCATGTTTCTTTCTGATTAGAAACGTATTTAATAATAACGAATTACAGTAAATAAGAGTGCCAGTTATCGAAATCAACAAGGTGTATTTCCAGTCGTTGATCGATCGTGATAATCGAACAGTTGGGTAATCGAACAATACGTTAACTGTAGAGTCGATTATAGGTACATTCGAGTAATGGGACATCAGTATTATATCGTATATAATTGTATTTATATTTTCGAAGCCCTAATTTTAATACAATATATATTTAATTCGTTTAAATATATTAATTATTGTTGTTTAACTTCTGATTCAGACTTTCTTAAAGTTGAATATTTTGTTAAAGTGTTATTAATAAAAGAACCTTTTCCCAAATATTTTGTTTTTATGATTTTGATTCGAAATCATTCTTTGGCCACTTGGAAAACTTTAACGTAGCGTAGCGTAGCGTAATGAATGTGGTGTAGGTACACCATTTCACGTACCGTGAGAATGTGACGCATCTGAGATGCTGTTTGCTTTTCATCCGTACGACATAAGCAGAACAAACATGGATACTAAAATGAACGAAAAGTTTCAAAAATATAATTTGATGACATGATGATTTAGATACTAACTACACATCTACATAAATGCAGTAGACATATTCATCTGTCTTGAACGTCTTCGACATTGAATTTAGGTCATAAATTTGCATTTAAATCCGTTTAATTAACATTTAGACTTACAATGACGTCAGGTCGGTAATTTTGGATTCGTTTAAGTTTGATTGGGATACGTTACTCTGGATTAGGTTGCGCTTTGGGTTAGGTTACATTAGGTTTAGTTAAGTCAGGTAAGTTAGGGGTAGGTTATATAAGGTTATTGTTTTACGATGGGTTGGGTTGTCCTCGAGAATTTCTATTGTGTTCATCGGGATGTCGTGGGGATGTCCTGGAGAAGTGCTGGAATATCCCGGAAAATTCCAGGAAGATTCCTATAGAAATCCTGGAAGAGTCCTAGAGTAATTTCGGAGAAATCCTGCGGTATTTTTTTGTCTCGGAGAATTGCTGGAG